TTCCATGAGCATTGATTGTGGAGCAAAGCAAAATAAAGTGTTTGACAATTTCAATCTTTTCTCCATTTATCTTGATATTATTTATTGGTCCAGTGGTGAGGATTTTAGTTTTCTTCACATTGAGGTGCAATTCATGTTAAATATTGCAGTCATTGATCTGTATCAGTAAGTGTTTCAAGTCCTCTTCACTTTCAGCAAGCAAGGTCCCGTTTTAGGGAATGTGTTTTACTCCTGACTCTTTCCTCTTGATGGTAGTGAGATTTCCCACTTCTGCTTCTAAGCTGGCTCATTTTGTACACAGCAAGCTGGTAAAACTGACCAATCATAATTAGTAGTCACTCACAACTGAATCATATATTCCATCAGCATCTTTCCCCACCTTCTCTTACCTATTTCTATAAATAAAAAAAAAAAAAGTCATTTGCTAAAAGAGTGTTTAGACTATCTTTAGAAGAAACATTAAATAAATCACTACACCACATGTCAGATGCCAATTTTCATTTTGTTTTATTATTATTCAACAAATACTTAGTTTCTACGAGGTGCCAAGCAATGTTCTAAAGGTAGTCTCCTATGCTTTGAGCCCAGAGACTAGTGGATAAGGCAGATATTAAACACAGGCAAATGTATAATTAAGATAGTAATAAGTGTTTTTAAAGAGAAGTACACGGCTGTATAAGACAAAACCAGAAGTAACCTTTTTTAACCTCTGTGATGATTACTAAAGGAGCAACATATGAACTTCCACTGATTATTATAAGAATATAATTATAGTCCAATCCACACTGAAGGCATCGGCCAAAAACAAGCCTCCAGAAATTGATAGACTACCCCTTGAAATGTTTCAATACATAGATGCAGCCCTAGAATCTCTCACTCATCTACGTGAAGGAATTTGGAAGACAACTACTTGGCTGCCACCTGAAAGAGATTCATTTTTGTGCACATTCCAAAGAAAGATTATTCAACAGAATGTAATAATTATCTAGCAATATCATTAATATCACACGCAAAGTTTTGATGAAGAAAATTCAAAAACTATTGCAGCAGTACATTGAGAGGGAGCTGGCAGAAATTCAAGTCAGATTCAGAAGAGAACATGGAATGAGGGATATCATAACCTGATGTCCTATGGATCTTGCCTGGAAGCAGATCATAATAGCAAGTAGTAGTGTTTTATTTACTATGTAAAATCATTCAACTGTGTGGATCGTCGCATACTGTGGATAACAGTGTGAAGAATGGGTATTCCAAAACACTGAATTGTGCTCATATAAAACCTGTACATACACTACAAAGCAGCATTTCAGACAGAACAAGGTGATACTGCACGATTTAAAATCAGGAAACTTGTACTCTGTAGTGAACATGGTAAGACTTTGTCTCAAGTATTTTGAACGTGCTGTCAGAAGAGACCTGCCCTTGGAGAAGGGCATCATGCTTGGTAAAGTACAGGGTCAGTGACAAAAGTAAGTCCTTCAAGGAAATGAGTTGACTCGGTGCAACAATGGGTTCAAACATAACAGTGATTGTGAGATGGTACAGAACCAGGCAGTGGTCCTCTTTGTTGTGCATTGTTGTTGATATGAAGTGATGTCGAGTCAGTTCCAACTCATAGCAACCCTGTACAGGGTTTACTAAGAGCAGTTGGTGAATTTGAACTGGCAACCTTGTGGTTCAGGCCGAACTTAAGGTCCAGTGCTTTATTCACAGCACCTAGTGTGTTGAACTGTGATGGCTTGTGAGTTACAGTGATTCTGAAAGCTGTGCTACCGGTATTTTAAATGCCAGCAGGTTCACCCATGGTGGACAGGTTTCAGATGAGCTTCTAGACGAAGATAGACTAGGAAGAAGCAACTATTCCGAATATTTAGTCGCTGAAAACCTTATGAATAGCAGAGAAACACCATCAGATACAGTGCTGGAAAATGAGCCCCTCAGGTGGAAGACACTCAAAATGCGACTGGGAAATGGCTGCCTCCTCAAAGTAGAGTTGACCGTGATGATGTGAATGGAGTAAAGCCCGTGGGAGAAAAGCTTGCAGGAC